CAACAAGCAAAACAACAATCACAGAATCTCAGTATGTCCAGTAGTTGTCCTTCAAGACGATCTTATGATCTTTCTATTAACCCATTGATACCCATCAGTCCAGTCGACCACTTCAGCTCCTTCTTTCTTCTCCAGAAAACCACCAGATTCTATTATCAAATGTTCACAGAGCCCAGGAAAGAGAAAAGAGAAATACGTCCAAACCAAACTGTATTCACAGAACTCAAGTCTCTTGAATCCTGTCCAGTGGTATTACTGTCTGGGATTCTTTTCCAGAAACACAAGATTTATTTTTCCGTCTCACTCTCTCGGCTTTGAAATCAGTCTGCTGTATTAAGAGTTAGTTTCGCTTTTGAGGCAGACTGATAAGATAGGCTCGCCGCTGCTTTTCTTCTTTCAGCCAAATATTTTCATTCTTATTTCAGCTTAATGGGGCTGTTTCATAAATCAAACGCTTCAGCTTACTTAGTTGTTATATATTTTAAGCTTATATTGGTTGTTCTCTTCTCCCCCGGTAAAGGGTTACTCACGGCTCAGTGCCAAATATGGCTCCCCGCCTCCAATCTAGGTTTGCCTCCCATTCTTCTCCTTCCGCTGCTCACCATCTGCTTCAGAGAGAATTCTCCTAAACTCTCTTTCAATCCCCATTTCAAAAAGGGGATCCCGGACCGGACGGGTTCCAGTTTTTCCAGAGAGCTCTTCTCTGGAGCTACTGGCAGCACCGCAACAAAGCCCCGCCTCCGGGATGTAGACTGACATTTTCCAGTCCTCTGGCCACTGCTGAGTTTTCCAAACTTGCTGGCATATTGAATGTAGCACCTTAACAGCATCATCCTTCACCACGACAAGGCAGCAATCCATGAAGGGTAATAATGATGGCTTTGCATAAACAGGTGTCTCTTAATTATGTCTGCTAATAAGACTTCGTCTCTTCATGGACCTGCTGTAGGTCAATTAAAGTTTTGATAGAAAAACGTGTAAAAGTTCTTGCAAACCCCGTTTTTGCAGATATTTTGACTGTGTGAGTCTTGCTCCTGTTTAAAAACAACTGATGATAACAGGAAAAAACATACAGGGAGAAATTTCCACTGCTGTAATACGGAAAATAAATAAATAATCCCCCAGCACACACAAAGGAAGTATAATGGGAAATCTATTCTTTTCTATGTTTTGGAAATGCTTTTATAACTGCTGCATACCCTTGTTTTAAAAGAGGGCATAATGTTAATGCAGTATTCAACCTGAGAAAGACTGAGGATAGTGTTAAAAGCAGTGTACAAAGTTTTTGTGTGGTTCAAATCTTCATGTGGCAGCAAAGGAAGAAACCCACACAAAGAAAAAGGACAAAAACCTGATGCCAAATATATTTAATTATTTAGAAATAGCTGATATATTCTGTAGTGAAATACTCTTTCATAAACTCTAGTTATGGGAATAGAGAAAAAGACTTCAGCTGTTTTCTGCTTGTGAGGAGCGTAAACATGAAACAACCTAATACACAAAAGAAACCTTAACAAATGGGAAAAAAAGAAGTCAGCATTAGGGATGAGAATATTTTGTTCATTTTTGTTCGGCATGTTCCATCCCAGTTTCATTAAGGCTGTGAAAGGTTATTTAAACTCGGTAACATGCATCCGCCTTTCTTCCAAGGCCCTCACCTAATATTAGTACTGGATTCCGATAGTCAAATACAGTAGTGCCTCGCACAGCGACGTTAATCCGTGCAGCAAAAATCACTGCTAAGCGATTTCGTCGCTATGCGATTTTAAAAAGCCCATAGAAATGCATTAAAACCTGTTTAATGTGTTCCTATGGGCCTAAAATTCACCTTAAAGCAAAGATCCTCCATACGGCGGCCATTTTCGTCACCTCTTAAGTGAGGAATCCATCCCTAAACACAGCAGGCGGCCATTTTGTTTACCTGGCGGCCATTTTGAAACCACCGATCAGCTGTTTTAAAATTGTCGCTTTGCGATGCTCGGTTTCCGAAGCAGGGAACCGAGCATCGCAAAGGGAAATTCCCCCATAGGGAACATCGCAAAGCAATCACTTTTGCGATCGCAAAAAATGCGTCGCAAAGCAATTTCATCACTAAACGGAGCTATTGCTATGCGAGGCACCACTGTATGTATGTATGTATGTGTGTGTGTGTGTGTGTGTGTGTGTGTGTGTGTGTGTGTGTATAAACCATAAAGCTGATAAAATAGCTCAAATCCTTAAAATGTATATAAAATAAGTAACAAACAATTCCAAATAATAGCTCCATAGAGCTTACAATGGACCTGTAAAAATGATTAAATGGGTCTCTATCTTAAAAAAGATCAAAAGAATTTGCCTGCTTGTGTACCAGTATTTATTTATATACTGTACATGACTGATAAATATAATGATTGAAAAAAAATATCTCTCTTCATACTTAACAGGCATGAGTTGCTGGAAAAGCAATAAGGATTAGTGGCTGGAGACATTAGAGACATTTAGCACCAAGCCTGTAGAATTTGTCTTCTACTTGGGTGTTTAAAAAAATTATCTTGAGGAAGTCAACATGCACAAAACTGTCTCTCCTACAGAAGACATTGAAGGTAGACACCCACATTTCTAGTAACTTCTTAACAAATCAAAGCTGGTCAAGGTTTTTTCATAAAGTGCCTTAAAACTTCAGACAATGCTCATGGGAAGCTAGGAACCAATATTCTTGTTCCTATAACCACCAAGAAATACAATTAAAAATTAAATTGTGGTGTTATATGCAAACATTCCTGAACTGTGTAACAATTCATCTCTAAATCATAAACAAAATACCTCTGGATGCAGGCTGAGCTAAATGTTATTTTCTGGGAAGAAAGACAAGTCACAAAACATAAGAAAGAGAGAAGATACAGAAAACATCAGGAAAAACAGTGTCTTTGTTTAAATTCAAATGAATTTAAAATATAAAAAATCTGAGCAATTATCTTTCGCTGCATAAACTTCCATTATCTATCTGTTCTAAAACCCCAAAAGAAAGTTATCACTGCATTTATGTAATTTAGCAGTAATGCTCAACCAAGAATGCATTCATTCTTTGATGTCAGATATCACACAGATGCACTCTTATCAGCACCTTAAGTGATCCAGACGTTTTGTCAATGTGGATTTATTCCATGTTCTTCTTAAAATCAGAATTTTAAAAATAACATCAGATCTCATGGTGTTGTGAACATTTTTACAAAATCAGCTTAGTTGCCACTCCACCGGAGTGAATATATCTGTACTTCAGGGCCACTTCCTATTGTTTGGGTTAAACTGTGGTTTCTTAATTCATGTTCTATGGTTTAAAATTTGGTACATAAAGAAATGCAACAGATTACGTTTGCATAAACACAGACTTTGTGAACTCTGGAAATGAAGTCACTTCAATTTGGTCCATACCGTTTTCCTAAAATTAAGACTTAACATGAAATTAAGCCATAGTATGATTTTTCAGGATGCTCATAATATAAGCCCTACCCCAAAAATAAGCCCCAGTTAAGTGAAACCCCACTCTCCACCATTGTGCAGCATTGTACAGCAACCAAAAGAAGATGACATGACTGTATATGAATAAATGGAGATTGTTGTACATGAAAAAAAAAATCCTGTGAAAATGAGCCCCAATGCATTTTTGGAGCAAAATTTAATATAAGACCCTGTGTTCTTTTCGGGGAAACATGGTAGTATCCTCATTTGGAGTATAGCATAGATATTTTACATCAGCTTCAAATCAAAACTAGAATGCAGTCCAAGTGCAAAAGTAGATGAGTTCTTTTAGTAAGCTGATACTCAACCAGTTTTTTCACTGATGAACTAATGCTAATATGAAACATTTAACAAAAAATTACAAATCTCTCCCCCTCTTCCCTTCTTTTTTGTACGAATAGAAATACTGTAGATGGGATCTATCTTGTATTCATGTACACATGTCCTTTCTAAAACATATGAATGCAGGGAAAGATAATGCAAGATATATCATGCTACTCACATTATATTAGTTTGGGGGCAAGAGATTAATAAAAAAACCAGACATTTTTAGCATTGTGGAGACAATCTGAACTATACTAAGTGATGGGAAAATCATAACACATACTAAGTATAGTGTGTACATTGGATGATGCAAAGAGACAGTAATAAGCAGACCCAAATTTGTGTATGTGCCAAATTACAGAAAAAACCCACAAGCTTCTATGCACAGTTTCTCTAACAAAAGGATGCCTAGTGCACCAAGATGGAATGAGATATCATGATGGTGATCTTCTCTACCATCCACTCTTAATATGAGAGCATATCTATGTATGTCTTTTGTGTAACCCAAACCAATAAATCATCAGTATAAAGCAAAATTAAGGACATGCCTAAATTGTAAGACAGGCTTATATATGAAGAAATTGAAGATGATGAACACAGTCACTTGATTTAATTACAACTTTATAACCAGAAATATTGTTGAAAAAATTAGATTAAGTTAGGCCTTAAATTGATGATGGTTTTCAAAGACCTTCTGAGCATATAGTTTATATTCTTTCTTTAGCAACTAACAAATGTACAGTAGGAACACCACCTACCCTTTATAATAATGGATCTTACGTCCCTCTCTCCATAATCAGCACTCGCAGTATGAATGTGCCAGTCTACACTTGCAGAAGAAGTTTAGTGTGACAAGCGCAAGAAATTAGCAGAATTCTTGAGTCCAGGGATCTGGCCTCCATCACCTAGAAGCACCACAACGCAACATATGGATCTTCAGCTATCAGCATCTGCTATCCACTTGAGGGATGTGCGAATACACCACTTACCTGCATCAGCTCTGGATCGCTGACCTGGTGCCTTCCCAAATGGGGTCTTCATTCATCTGTATTTAAGTGAGCAGCAAAGCTGCTGAACTAGGGTGAAAATCCAGTTCTAGTAGCCGTTGTGAAGTTTCCCAGTCTTGGAATAATAGATGCAATAGTACAGATGTCAAATCAGAATTGTTGTTCTCCCCCAAACTGAGCAGATCTGCCTTCAGTTACAACAATCTGCAAGAGAAAGAGAGAGGGATAAGAGACTGCTAATCTGTAGTCCTATAGAGACTGTAGGAAAGTAATTGGGACCTCTGTGTATTTAAAAGGACCAGAAAAAGCTTTCTGCTTGTCCTTTCTCTCTAAGCAGTGCAAATTCCCTCCAACCTCTCCCTTCACTAGCCACAGTCTAGCAACATAAATAACAATTGCTGCTGCCCTTCTTATTCATCATTGCCTGGGCTTCACAAAATACACCATTAGCTCTCACCTACCTACTGGGAGGAAAGCAGTACCCCTTCCATCAATTTTAGTGTCCAGGTTACCAAGGATATTTCTTCTTCACTTCCCTCCCCTAACTGGGTGTTTCCAGTGCACACAATCTCCTCCCATTAAATCTACTTAAGAACAAAGTAATTCTTCAATAACTCTGTGAGGTTGTGCAAGTGTGCATCCTTAGCCCCAGCACACAGGTAGCAGGCAGCTGGGAGGGTGAGTTTCCACAGGATCAGGTTGGCTGGAGAGACTCCCTGCAGCTGCAGAAGATTAGAGACAGCTGGAGGAAACAGGGTCCAGGGGAATAAAAGATCAGAACTGGGAAGAAATTGTTGTCATCTATTGTGGAGGAACCCCCATGTCATGCTTGTCCATCATGGTGAGCTCAAGGGCAGGAGCCTATGAGAGGACAGGAGGGGCAAAACCAGAAGAACCAGAGAGAGTTAGGAGATTGAATTGAGAAAAAAGTCAGAAACTGGAAAGTTGGAATGCTAGAGAGAATAGGAATGAGTTCAAAAGTATATAGAGAATAAATAGTCAATGAATATTGTAAAAGTGAATAAAGATACCTACAAACCAAAATAACATCAAATGATATTTAATGAATAATCCTAAAAATCTGTGATTTACTCTCATGATTTGCATAACAACTATAATATAAATAAATCTGCTGTATTGGCAGCACACGTCTAAGATCTATTTGGTATTGAGGGAATGATACCTGATGGCAGTGTGAAGTGAGGAAATGCATCCAGAGGGTGGACTTGTGTTAAGGGAAAATAAACAAAGGACACTGGGTAGACGCGACACCTATCTTGGAAGAGGATGTACAAGAGGATGCCAGGGCCTGTCTATCCTTGCCAGGTTTATTGGCTTGTGTCAGGAGCCAGGGATTGGAAAATTCAGCCATGTGTTTGGACAAGGCCTTGTTAGCCTGCATGCTTCCCAAGCTTTGGAGAGGGAAGGGACAGAGAGAGACAAGCTGCAGAGACTGAGTTCTTGTGCTCATTCATAATCCACAGATGTATTGGAACAGTTTGCGGAGGGGGCACCCGAGTTTGTGAAAATTAAAACACACTGTAGCATTTTATCTTGTTTTCTGTTTCTTTTAAGCCACCCTTCTGTACCTTATATCTTAATTATTTTTATTTATTTATCTGTTGCGTCCATAGCTTGCCATTTCTCCAGTGACCTCCAGGGGGCATATATGTCTGTCCTCCTCCTCCTCACTCAACCTTCACAACTACAGTGGGGTCTCGACTTACGAACGGCTCGACATACGAACGTTTTGACTTACGAACTACTCTCATAGGACTATATGGACTCGACTTACGAACTTAGATTCGAGTTACGAACTCTTTTTTTCCTTTTTTTAAAAGCCAAATTATCTTAGGTTAAAAGGAAAAAAGGAAAAAATATCCCCCTCTAGTGGCAGAAGGTGGAATAGCAGCTTCCCATTAGTTTCTATGGACGAAAAGAGCAGATATGGATTAAATGGTTTTCAATGCATTCCTATGGGAAATGCAGATTCGACTTAAGAACTTTTCGACCTGAGAACTGCCTTCCAATACGGATTAAGTTCGTAAGTCGAGACCCCACTGTACAAGAGGATGACAGGGCCTGTCTATCCTTGCCAGGTTTATTGGCTTGTGTCAGGAGCCAGGGATTGGAAAATTCAGCCATGTGTTTGGACAAGGCCTTGTTAGCCTGCATGCTTCCCAAGCTTTGGAGAGGGAAGGGACAGAGAGAGACAAGCTGCAGAGACTGAGTTCTTGTGCTCATTTATACAAGCTTTCTCTCAAAGACCTAAGCTTTCTCCTCCTGCCTACCCTCCTGGACTCTGGAGGAATTCCAGTAAAATTAGCTGGGCTCCAAGGTGACAAGTAATTTAAAAATTGCAATTCATCCTTATAGGACTGAGAGGGGAAAGGCAGAGGACCTGTTCCTGTAACTACAGTCAACCCTTGACTTACGAACTTAATCCGTTCCAGATCAGCATTTGTAAGTTGAAAAGTCCGTAAGTCAGTTTCCCATTTCCCATAGGAATGCATTGAAACCCCGGTAATCCACTCCAGCTGAATAAAAAAATACAAAATAAAATAAAATAAAATAAAAAGCACCAAACACTGCAAGCCCCTAGGCCTGCAAAACACAACCCCACCAGCCCAATCCCACCCTGCAAAAGAAAAAAACATAAAAAAAGGAAAAGCAGCACCTAACTCCACCGACGCTGCCGGGCCAGGACTTCCACTGCCGGGCCAGGGCTCCACCACTGCCGCCGGGTCAGGGCTGCCGCTGCAGGGCCAGGCTCTTTCTCCCCCACCCTGCAGCTTCTCCCAAAGGGCTGATCCCGAGCGTGGGGGGAGAGAAAGGCTGGATCCCCATGCTCTGGAGCAGCCCTTTGGGAGAAGTCATGGGGCGGGATAGAAAGGCGATCCAGCCTTTCTTCTCCCCCCCCCACGCTCAGGAGCAGCCCCGGTAGCGGCGGCAGAGGTCCAGGCCCGGTAGCGGAGAAAAGCAGCAGGGAAGCCGGGGAAGCCTCTGGCAGCGGTGGTCACGGTGGTGGGACGGCCCAGGAGGCTGGGCCCAGCCAGGATGGCCCAACGGCTTGCCTCTCAGTGCCAGTAGCAGCAGCGGTGGAAGCCAGAGAGGCTGAGCCTCCCTTTTCCTAACCGTTGGGGTGAAAGAGCTACAAAGAAGCAGCCTCTTCACCACCAACAGTTTGAATTTCCCGCCCTTTCCCCCTGCCTTTTTTCAGTTTGTAACTCGTAAGTCAAGGGTTGATTGTAATAAAAACTGATATGAATCTTTATTTAGGCTGCAACTAAAGCAACGAGATACTGAGTCTCTGAGTGCAAAGGGAAAAGGCACACAGAACCAGACAGATTATAGTTTCATTTGTCCTAATCATTGAACAACTTCTTTTTAGGGTATATCTTGTTGTGCCTTCTTCTCTTACAGTGTCCTTGACATTTGTAATAGTTTCCTCATTTATATTCTCAACAATTTTTTCTCCCAGAGTTTCTCCTTTTTGCAATTATTGTGAAATATCAAAGAGTACAAATTGTGCAGCAACCTGTCAATTTGATGTGTTTCCACTCTATTACCCACAGGTTCCAGCTGTCAATAAAATACCTGAACTCATTCATTTTAAACTAATTTATTCTAATACACTAAACAACTTTTAACTTATGATTTAAAATGGTGCACTATGTAGTCTCAAATAACTATCCTTAACATATGGTTAAAGAAGGTCCATTTTCATAACTATATAGTGATTGCACAATGGAGTTTTATGAGCAGAACTGTGCAACAAGCTAACTATTGGTTATATCAAGCGTAAGTATGCAATTCTTTATATGTTCACTCTTTTTTTTCTTCAGTTAGTCAGTCGGCAGGGATACAGTATTTCTTTGTTAGATTTGCTGTTTGGGGTTATAAAGAGGTTGTGATACCCAAATCAAGATGGGTAAAAATCAATAATTAAAAAAAACTGATTGCAATCAAGATTAAAATCAACAATCATTTTAAATTTAAATTGTCAAAACACAATCAATTTTTAAAATTCAAATCAATTTTTAAAATTTAAATCCTGATTTAAATTAAATCCAACCCAGTCCAAAATATCTTTTTCCATTTTTTTCCTTTCCATATCAAATGCTGTTTCATGTATTTTGTGATCAATCAACTTCCCTGTATATGCATCTGCTAATTCAAACAAATCTAGTTTGGTCATGCTTATTTATGTCACTCCAACTTTCCCAATCTCTCATTTTCACATATGTGGTATCTGTACTAGAAATTTGACTTCCTATGGACATGTGTTTCATAAGGAAGGTACTTCTGAGCAGCTGTCATCATTGTCTATTACCTCTCAGTCTGGTATAATTGTTATTTCTTCCATAAGTACATTTGGCAACTGCTCTGCTTTCCTCAAAATCATTCTGATGCAACACTGACCTACTTTGAAAATTATGAAAATATCTAATAAAATGAGTATAATAATTATGATATACTGTAATATAGTTTCTACTATACTGATTAACTATGAGGAAAAAACATCTACCTAAACTTTTGAATAGAGGTGTATTTTTTTCCATATTTTTTCACTTCTGCTTTAATCTTGCCCACATTTTCAAAAAAATGACTTACTACCATCGGGGTACACAAACAACACTTTTCACCAATTAACTTGCAGCCTCCACCCTCTTGAGCCAACAAAAATCACCGGCAACTGCATTCTGCAAAACTCTTTCATGGCTTCCACTTCAGAAGCAATTTTCCTTAATGCATCCTCTCTATTGTTAGCCAAAATTTGAAAAATAGCTCTTCCGATAGCATGTTAATACCTACTCCTGGTAATATAGTGTCCCATAATCAATACTATCCATTATACAGGAAAGATGTCCTTTTGGCCTTGTGACTTTTTGTATTTGATTGTTTTACTGGTTGCATACTTGGGAACATCACTCCCAGAGCATGTATCTGTGTGTTTGTGTGTGTCATCAAAATATATTCAAATAAGTGCTATGATGGCATGTGAATAAAGTCCATCTGTATATGAACAAAAGGTCACCATGGAGGAGGATGGGACATTTGTTGAGTCAACAGCACCTTCCCTACATTGAAATATATGGCATAAGTGGAACACAATTGTTGAGTCAGAGAACAAACCTCCAGAGTAAACCATTCTTTACAAACTGCCGATATGATTTCCTGTTGTCCAACATGGGAGGGGCTAC